CACTGATGGCGGGTTTCCGCGCAGAGCTAGTCAATCTCCAGGAAATCCTTACAGCCCCTCGATGCGCGGGGGCAGGCCGTCTCCTCCTAACGGCTTCCCTGGCCCCCAGCCGATGAACGGCAGGCGACCCTCGCCCCCAGAGAGCGTTCGGCAGCCGGTGCCCCGATACCCTCCTGGACACGGCAACGCGGTGGCACCGCAGCAGGTCGAGCAGCATGTCGGGGTGAGCGGTCTTCACCCACCCAACGCGAAGAATATGAGAAGTCTGACGGGTAGTGCGAGCGCCAGCGCGGGTAGTGGTGATTCCCATATTGACACAGAGCCATCGGCTCACAGCAGCCAGAGCAGCCTCGGCCCTCGACCGACTGTGGGCGTGCGTTAGGTCCTTCCTTTCGCGACGTACGACGACAACTGAACGAGTTTGACGACACGATGTTCATTATCCCGCTTCACACATCATTGCACTGCATCTCACCAGTCCTTACCTCGTTGTCTAACAACAAGCCGATCAAAGCCATTACAACCTCGTTTGCATCATGACAGAGTCAGGCCTGGTCAGCGAAGCCTGCAAGCCGACTCGTCCGACGCGCGTCGATCCTCGGCTTCGACACGACGGACACACAAGTCTTGAATCTGCTCTTGCAGCATTTTAATACGGCCCCTTTACCCACCGACCGACGGCAGCGGTATCAGGATTCGTGTATCATATGAGACTTTCGGGTCTTCTTTCTTTTGTACGGGTGTTTCCTTGTCATGAACCAACGATGCGGCCGTGGGCCCTCATCTCGGTTAGGAAACCACAAGCAATGAACATAGACAAAGGACAGGGCGTGATTATCTTTTTATTTATTCTTCAATTCTTCAATACAAGAACGGGTAGAGTCACCTGTTCGTCCATCATTTGCATGGTTTCAGGTCAGAGGCCATGGGCAAGCAAGCATATGAAAGCAGCGACAGTTAGTGGATGAGGGGAGCCTCCATCGATTCAACCCAAAGAGGCTCTTGATTGGCTTGGGTTTTTTTTTCTTGGCTTTCCGCTTGGGTCGTTCCATCATGCCACTCCCTCCTCCCTCCTCGTCTTGAGGTGACGAGTGAGATTGTCGAATCGGTGCAGTATGAGTCAGGATGGCTCACGGCGGACGAAGACTGGAATCCGTTCCGTTGAGGCGGGGACTGCTGATTACAGCAGTGACAGGCTAGTTAGGCAGGCAGACGGGGAGAAGACATGGCCAGCAGATGGGCCGTAATGAAGCCATTCCAGATTTCTTCCAAGTACATTCTATGACACAAAATGGGTGAATTCTTTCAAGACATCTACGATGTATGCTTTTATCGACCAGCAACTCGTATGAAATGAGCAACAGTGAGTGTGGCGACTGAAGCGCCATCGCTACAAGACAAAAGTGGGGCCGCGCCGACGCACAGAGTGGGGGTGGGGCCTCTTGGACCCATACCTTAGGTACCTACCCAGGAGCCTGTTGCCAGTAAACACCAGCTCATCACGACAAACATACGGCAGAACTTGAAGAAACCACCGGCTGAGACCACCATTCCAGTGTGAATACCTAAACGCATCGCTTATCATATACTCCGGTTCGAGGCGCCACAGTCAGAGATACTATCACGCTCGCCATGACCAGTCGCAGCTTCGGCACCTCCAACGCGAGTGGCTTCCAGAGGAGTGACGCCTCGCGTCCGTCCTTGGCAACCTCGGGGAACGCCGTCAAGAACCGCCAGCTGGTGCGTCCCCCCCTTTCCCCCCTCAACCATCTATCCCCCTTTCTCCCCGGGAGCCCGGGGTCCGGAGCGGCGGCACGCGCCGAGATTTGTTGATGGAACAACTCCCACCCAGGCTGACAACTTGGTGGCAGACGCACCTCCACGCGCAGCTCGCACAACTTTCCGCCAACTTGGCTGACACGGACAACCTCGTGCGCATGACAAGCGTGCAGGCGGAGAGCATGCGAGGGCTCGGCAGCTGGCACGGCGGCCTGTTCATGGCGGCGAGCAAGGTGCTCGGGGAGGAGGCGATCAACCGGGAACAGGGAGGTCAGCAGCGATGATCCGTTTCTCTTCTTCGTTTGATTTTCTTAGGCGGCTGCTGGAGTTGGAAGCGGAGTCGAGGGATGACTCTGCTTGTAGAATGAATTATGAAAATGGGGTCACGAGAGAAGAACGGCGGCCCTCTGGACAGAGTAGACGGTTCTTTGTGCGATGAGAAATGGGTATCATTGTAGTGGCTATGGTCCTCTTTTCTCTTCGGTGTGTAGATGTGGACGTGTGACGGCTCTCGCCGTATATCACAGCGCAGGCCTGACTACTGATTCAATGTGCTGAAGGCATCTCTGCCTGCCTGCCTGTTGTTCTCAGTCCACTTCCAGCCGCGCGGATCTGTCGCATGCTTCGGTAAGCCCAAGAGGACAGGGCAACCAACGACGGCGCTGGCCACGGATAGAGAGGACGTCATACGTGGCGATTGATGCGCACGGAAATATCCATGCAGGCTCCACGGCGTCCGTCTTGTCTGGTCGGAGTGTCGTCATGTAAGGTGGCCATCTCAAAGACTGAGGTGTTGTGTGCTCTTCTTTCGGACAACAAGACTCGGCTCAGCCGGCATCTTGCACATGGCCATCGAGGGATGCATCTCCCCTCAATGTCCGCCGTTGCTGCCTCGGACAGTCGACTGGGAACCTCTTGGCGTGGCCGCACGTGTGGCACGTCATGACCATGATGTCGGCCCATGGTTTCCTCCCCTGCTTGCTCAGATTCTCAATCGTCGTCGTGCAACTGTGGCCTTCGATGAGAAACGCATCGCAGGCTTTGCACACGGTTCTCCTCATGGCGGGCGTTGGTCTGATGACCACTTTCTTAGAGACGGCACTTATATCGGCGACTAATCGACGTGCCACATTCTCATGTCCGGATTTCAGCGCGTCTTCTATCACAGCTGATGGACTGTGCTTGTCGGATCCTCGAACACTCGTCTGTGTAGCATTCTGTACTGCAAGATAGGCGGCCGCTTGATGGAGGTAGTTGATGCGGGTGTACTGCTGTCTGTTCTGGACGTTCTCACTCGGCTTCTTCTTAGCCTTTGCCATTTTGAGTTTCTCTTCGCCCGGTTGATGCCCCTGCTTGTTGGCCTGTCGTTATCGTACTGTCTCGTACTGTCTGCGATGGTATAGTTGATTCTTCAACAAGTGGTCTTCAGTTAAGTGAACCATAGAGAAAGCCACAAGGTTCACAAGAAAAGATGAGTCAGCGCCTCCCTAAACGTGGTGAAACGCTTCTGGGTGCTCCTCC